TTTTCTGAAAAAGAGTCTAGGCCCGAAACGTCAGCCTTCCTGCTCCTCTGATGCTGCTTGGCCTGCTGTGTTCATCCAGCTCTACACCTTGTTATTTCATACTGGGGGAAACAGGGTCATCCTTACCAAGGATCTGATGTTGGCTATTGGAGCCTAACATTTAACCCCAGGTGAAGTGAAAAGTAAATACAGCTTCCCTACTAGCACCTCCCCGCTCCCCACATGCACCAGTCAACCCTAATAATAAACCCACTGGGTCATAGAAGTGTGAAGGCAGGCCATTCGGCCCATCAAGGTGACACCAACCCTCCAAAGAGCATCCCGCCCAGACCCACCCTATCCCTGTAACCCTGCATTTCCCATGGCCAATCCACCTCACTTACACATCAGAGCTTAGATCAAACAGGCAGCACTGCACAGCAGGAAGGATGGTTTAAAAAAACAACAAAGCAAAACAAATTTGCCTCACGGGGTAAGGGTTTAGACAGAGATTACAGGGGAAGACTGGCAGTCCAGAGAAGGTTCACCCTGGCTCATCTTGGACAGGGAAGGACTGTCGCATGAGGAGAGGGTGAGTAGGTTGGGCCTGTACTTATTGGAGTAGAATGAGAGGGGACCTTATTGAAATGTACAAGATTCTTAGAGGACTGGGCAGGGTCAATAGAGAGAGGTTGTTTCCCCTTGTGGGAGAGTCTAGGACCAGGCGGCATCATCTCAGAATAAGGGGTTTGAGTCAGAGATGAGCAGGAATTTCTTCTCTGAGTGGAGTGAATCTGTGGAATTCTCTACCGCAGAGGGCTATCAAGGCTGGGTCATTAGGTATATTCAAGGCTGAGACAGACAGATTTTTAATTGGCAAGGGAATGAAGGGTTATGGGAAGAAGGCAGGAAAATGGAGAGGAGGATGATCAGATTAGCCATGATCTCATTGAAAGGCAGGGTAGACTTAATGGGCCGAATGGCCTGCTTCTGTTCCTCTGTTTTAGTGACAGGATTAGGCATCAAGTTAATACTGAACGCAGGGTGTGTTGGTCACAAGGGAAGTGTGGATTTTTATTTTGAAGGTCAATGTGTGAATTGTTTGATGAAATAGAGCTCTAACTAACAGCATGTTAGAATCACAGAGACAATTCCATTGTGAACAGCAACTCATATTCCGCTTGGGAACCCTGCAGCCCAATGGTATCAATGTGGATTTCACAAGTTTCAAAATCTCCCCTCCCCCCACCGCATCCCAAAACCAGTCCAGCTCGTCCCTGCCTCCCTAACCTGTTCTTCCTCCCACCTATCCCCTCCTCCCACCTCAAGCCGCACCTCCATCTCCTACCGACCAACCTCATCCCGCCCCCTTGACCTGTCCGTCCTCCCTGGACTGACCTATCCCCTTCCTAACTCCCTACCTACACTCACCTTTCCTGGCCCCATCCCCGCCTCTTCGACCTGTTTGTTTCCTCTCCACCTATCCTCTCCTCTATCCCTCTTCTATCCGCCTCCCACTCTCTCCCTATTTATTTCAAAACCCCCTTCCCCTCCCCCTTTTCTGATGAAGGGTCTAGGCCCGAAACGTCAGCCTCTCTGCTCCTATGATGCTGCTTGGCCTGCTGTGTTCATCCAGCCCTGCACCTTGTTGTCTTGGATTCTCCAGCATCTGCAGTTCCTACTATCTCCATTGTGATTGCTGGATGGTAGTCAGAGGCTGTTTCCACAGACAGGCAATCTGCTGGACCAGCCCACCATTATTTAACACCTTAAACTACCAGCCTATCTGCTGGACCAGCCCACCATTATTTAACACCTTAAACTACCAGCCTATCTGCTGGACCAGCCCACCATTATTTAACACATTAAACTACCAGCCTAATGTCTCGCTTGGGTGTAATTTTAGCTGGTGTTAATTCTCCAATCTTCTGATGTTGTTCTACACAGCCTTCTGGTTCAGCATCTCTGGGAACTGAATGTTTTAATCCTCCTTGGCCAAGAGGAAGAATAATTTTTTTTCTTTTAATAACACTTACATGTTCATCAGACCTTTTTGTTTTATTAGCTCAGTCTGAAATGTCGTCATGATAACCATGTCCAAACAGACTTGAAGGGAGACGCTGAGAAATCCTACAGACTTTCTAACAGAGGGGGGGGTGGTGGAACAAACTGGAAAGCTTGCTCAGGGAGCTGATGCATGAATGATGGGCTGAATGGCCTCGTGTTCCGTAAGACAGTACAAAGTGGAATCTTTGGCTATTCCTAATTAGAGTCCGCATGGCTCCCCTTGGTCCCAGACACAGTCCATCTGCTCCAGTCTGGAACAACGCAGATGGGAACTGGCACAGTAAAGGCAGAGCCACCCATTCACAACCACCAGCACGCCCCCAGCCCCTGACCTGCAGGCCTGGACTGGCAGAACCACCACATCGACTGGGACATGAATTTCAAACAGGTTTGAATCCAGGTTAAAACAAGGACTGGTAACCCATCTGGTTCACTAATGCCCTTTAGGGAAGGAAGCCGCCATCCCTACCTAGTCTGGCCTACATGTGACTCCAGACCCACAGCAATGTGGTTGACTCTTAATTCTGGGCAATTAGGGATGGGCGATAAATGCTGCCTAGCCAACGACGCCCTCATCCCGTGAATGAATAAAGAGAAAAAAAAGGCCTATGTTAGCCATTCAGTCTCTCCAGCCTGCTCCCCCATTTAGTATAATCATGGCTGATCTCATCTCTGCCTCCGCTCTGCTGCTCTCCATAAGCCTTCAACCGATTATTAAGGAAAAATCTGTCTATCTCCTCCCTAAATTTACCCCATGTCCCAGCATCCACACAATCTGGGGGAGTGAATTTGACACATTCAGGATTATAGTGATTGGAACCAGGTGGATCTTATTGACTACGAGATCCTTGATTGGGGTTATTAACCTGGGCCAGATGTAAACAGGAGATTCAGCGTGTCCCCTGACTCTGAGCCCATGCACTGTGCATGTGTAAATAAAGGGTGAATCGGTGACAGGAAACCAGCCTTTGTGCAGTCATTGCAATGACCCTTTGAGAGAAGTAATTCCTCCCCATCTCTGCTTTATATCTGCCACCCCTTATCCTAAAACAATGACTTCTCATTCTAGACTGCCCCACACGAGGGAACCATCTGCCCTACGTCTGCTTTGTCAATCTTCTTTAGCGTTTTATAGACCTCAGTTAGATCACTTCTCATTCTTACTGTGACTGACGCTTTGTAAAACTTGCTTAGTTTGAATAATTTTGTTTTTAATCACTTCTAGGATGTGACTGGCTGGGCCCATCATTTATTACCCCGTCCCTAGTTGCCCTTGAGAAGATGGTGATGAACTGCCTTCGTGAACTGCTGTAGTGTAACAGCAAGAGCTCGAGGGGTTTCGGGGTCATTAATACAGTAGGTATAGCTCTGCTTTGAAAGATCAAAGGACGTGGAAATAGGTAACTTTATAGAAAGAGAAGTGAAAAGTAGAATCTGGCAATGATTCAGTGAGAGACAAATTATTAGAGAATGTAACTCGTCCTGACACTAGAGCACAAAGCCCATCTATAGACTAATGGCTGATTTAAATCAAATCAAAGGTTTAAACAAAAATTAACTTAAAAATAAAAAAAAAATCACTTGCTTCAACCTCTTAACTGTTCTTTTCACACACGGGCTGATGGAAACATGAAGAGCCAACCATTTCCCAACACTATGAGGAGTTCATGTAAACTCCTGTTTCTATGGTCAGCACCGTGAGATGGTTGTTACCAATGGGACAGGAGGATAGTCCCCCCGTTTGTAAACCCACTCCTCTCTCGTAAGCAGTGGCTGATCACCTGGTGCACACCCAAAAATTTCTCTGATCAGTTATTGCTTTGCTGTTTGTGGGAGCCTCCTGCACACAAACTGACTGCTGTTTCCTACATTCAAACAGTGGCTACATTTCGGAGTTCTTTGCTGGCTGTAAAAGGATTTTGGAATAGTGGTGAAAGGCGCTATTTAAATGTACATTTTTCTTTTCCTATCCTACAACAATGGAATGCCTCCTTGACCTTTTTAAATCAACTGAGCAACAATTTGGTCGTTTTTCAGACTGGAGGCCTGTGACCATCGGTGTTTCAGAGGGATCGGTGCTGGGTCCGCTGTTGTTTATCATTCATATAAATGATTTGGATGAGAATTTAGGAGGCATGGTTAGTAAGTTTGTGGATGACACCAAAACTGGTGGTATAGTGGACAGTGAAGAAGGTTATCCAAGATTACAAAGGGATCTTCATCAATTGGGCCAACGGGCTGAGGAGTTGCAGGTGA